CTGTGAGAAACAACAGTATTTGTAAAGATACACGCAGAATTTAAGGTATTAGCATTAATTTATGAAGCTGTTGCACAGAATTGTTTACACAGGAAAGACTATGTGAAAAAAGTTGTAAACTTGGGTGACACATTTCATATCTGATTCAGACACCTTGCTTTTCAAATTCTAAAAAACTGTTATTTTTTGGTTATTTTGTAATCTGGCATTCAAAAGTCGATTTTACATGACAAGGGAAAGTTTTGAACTGCTATCAATCAAATTTTCTTTTCGTGGTACAGTAAAAGTTTAGGAATGCCATATTTAAAACTGACGATAAGCAACTAGAATAATTACCGTTAAGAAAACAGCAAACTAAAAAAATTTATACTGTTTGTCAATTTAACCTATTCTCAAACATTTGAAAAATTAGTGTCGAAAGTAGCAGAAAAAAGTTTGCTCAGTTCTTACCTCTTTAGCCTTCCTTTATCAATTAGTTATCTCTTTAAAACCACAAACTATATGTTGCAAATAAAAATATATACAATAAGAGCAAATAACGTTGTGTCGTAAAAATATGAAATAAAAGCAAATAAAATTCATCAACAATCTGCAGTGTGCATTACAAAAAAGCGGTTTTTTAAAAGTTCAGTTTGATGAGCATCACTGCTTAAGATTAATTTAGCCTCTCAATTAGCTTAAAAACTGTCACAATTACCAAATCACTAAAACTTCTCAAAAAAAGTATTGTTATAAACTGAAGTCGGAATGAGTAATTTTTTCAAAATTTGAAAGCCTTCTTCTTTGAAACTGAGGTCTAAAAAAAAGTTACAGAAGAAAAACAGACTTATCACAGATTTTGCCTTCGAGTACATTTACAAAAGTCACGAAAAGATGTCCTAAATAGAAAATAAATAAAATAATGATTTAAAACTATTGAGGATGACATAACGTTAAAAGTCATATTTTTTAAAGGTCAATTTAGAATGCAAAATATTTTTGAATATTTTGATCACCAAAGTATGTATAATAAGTGTACCTGAAGTGACACTTTTAAAACTTGACAAACTGGTAACACCTGGTCTTAAAAAACCGTAAAATGTAGAAGAAATTTTACCGAATTCTCTAGTCTTTAACATATTTTGAACTGTGCTTTTATAATTTATACAGTTTATACATAGATCACAAAATTTCACAAGACAATCGCTACAAGCTATGTATGAAAACAAAAACTTCTTTACTTTCTTCTCAAGTTTTTTAATAAATTGAAGTGTGCCTAACCAATTTAATAGTCTCAGAAGCACTTACTATTAGCAGTTGGGGTTGTATAATCTCAATTAGAATATAGTAAGTTAACAGTGCGCGACTAGTTTCTTTTTAAGAATCGGGTACTCTTCAACAAAGCTAGAGCAAAACTAAAAAATTCAACGAGACCTGAAAATAGAAATATCACTAAAATCTTCTTCAAAATTCTGCACGGTCTCACCAAAGAAAGACTCATCCTTTTGACAGTTTATTTTTCTTCTAAAATTTCTTTTTCTTTCTTGAAAGGTTTTTTGTGAATTGTAAAAAATAAGTTTTTTTTAACCTAGAAACAGCTTTTCAAAATAAACAAAAATTATGTGAAGTTTTTTCATTTTGAATAAAATTGTAGATTTTTGAGGATTGTCAATTTGAAAAGTAAATGAAAGTGAAGCTTGAGCTTTGGTGGTTTTGAAAAATCTTTTATTTAGTATTGTTAAATGTGCAACAGTGTTTGAAGTTTTTGAACAATGTATTTTACAAATTATACAGCTAGCCATAACAAGATTTGATTTGATCAAGTTCCTCATAGATTCAGCGTGTAAAAAAGAAGATAAAGTTGCACTGTGTGTTGTTAATTTAGTTAGAATAAATCAAAATAGAACAGACATAGGACAGGGTTCGTTGAAGATTAAAATGGAACTGTAAACTGGTGTAAAATCGGGAAAAGAAATAGTTTTTTGTAAATTTGAAAAGTTTAGATCTGCTCTAAGAGGAGGGTATAATTAACCAAAATAAGAGAACAAACTAAAAATGAAAGCATATAACAGAGCAGCAGATTCCACCAGCAAAATAAACGTAGTGTCACGGCTTA